CCTCTCACTTATCCTCAAATCCGAGATGAAATACTGTCAGATGTACTGTGATCCAGGGAATTTAGTAGGAGACTGACAGGCCGGGTGGAGAGACATATGAGTGACTGATACCGAGAGGCACAAGTGCGCTTGTCCGTGTGGAGGAGGAGCAGGGAGAGAGGGGCGACGACTGTGAGGGGAGGAGATTTTTATCCGATGATTTGTCAGAGGCACAAAGAGTGACTCGTGTCAGTTAGGTGACGAGTAACAAAAAAAACCAAAGTAGCACATTGTCACATGATCCAATCATTTTGCGCTACATACTTTGTTAATGTATAATGTATTCTTTTATACTGAAATTTAAATGATTTCTTTTCTTTTTTTTTCCCCCCAAAAAAAGTCTGTATTTGATTTGTGAAAGTGTGCTGTACACGGAAACACTTTCCTCACGCTAGTATTGCACTCATTCGTCAGTCGGATGCTTTATGTGGGGTATTGGGGCTGATATTTGGAGGGTGTGTACATCCCTCATCTCTGAATAGCTTTAAGGCACAAGCAGGAAATGGAGTCCTGGCATTTTGTTTTGCATCAGTGCTCCTCTTTATTAGAGAGGAACAGAATCGACATAGAATTATAATTGGAAAATTGTAAGCTTGCTTTCATTACAATTAGCCAGATCACAGGATGCAATAAACCAATTATTTTACTTAAAAGCAAGTTTCCTCATCACTCTGCAGTGCGTCGCAGGATGTGTAACCTCATCCCACATGGACGTGCCAGTGAAACAGCAAACTCTCTGTCTCCTACTCTGTCGCTCCCCGCTTACATGTAAACACCAGCATGCTTGAGTGTGTTCAGACAGCTGAACATACACTGACATATGAACGCCATTTAGCGGCACCACACGGGCGCGCAAACACACACACACACCTCAACAACATACAAATAATTGAGTAAGATTTGCTGGTACATTAAGTTTAATGTGTTTGACATTTGGCGGGAGGAAATGGTGGGCCCAAAGTGGAGTAGCCGGGTCTTTCTTCAATCAGGGCACTGCAGGGCTTCATTTTACAACCCCGACGCAAACCCAGACCCGTCAAAGCTAATTAGCGCCGTTGCAAATGGATGCAGGTCATGGCTCTCAGCGGATTGGTCCACAGAAGGGTCGCCAAAGGTCAAACCTCCAGTATGGAATGATATAAACAATCATCTATAGACCACAAACCAATCAATCCCTTTTAACACTATCCACTTCCTGGTCGGCTGCTCTCAGATGTCAGAGGTCAGTGTACAAAAAGACAACTGAGCCAGTGGGTTTGGGTGTGGGAAGCATATCCAACTTATTATGTATGTATTTGTATTTTACCAGCAAAATATCAAATGTATTTAAATCTGTTCTCTGATAGCTTCTGTTATGTATGTATATGTGCATGTCTGTTCATTTATTATTTTCCACTGCCTGCATGATAAAGCTTTAGATCTTGGAGAGGCAAATCCTGTGTATTTAGTTAGTCTTTCATGAACTCTATACTACATAAAAAGCAATAAGAGTGGAGTGAATAAAAAAATGATCTAAAACAATCTTCGTTCTTTGCAGCTAAAGCACACTGTGTGTGTGTGTTTTCATGCACACTGAATAAAGCCACTTCAACATCAACATGAAGTTCCGCAATTAGCCGGGCAGAGAAAAAAAGGACAGAAAGACAGGGAGAAAGGAAGAGAGGAGGGGTGGGGGAGGAAAAAGGATGGAAACCAACGCTTGAGGAATTGAATTACCAGAGCCTTTTCTCATTATCATTTAGCCGTCTTTTATGGCCCACCAGTAAGAGATGATGTTCCCATGACCCCGCACAATACACAGACATATTATTCAATCCTGCCTCGATGAAATTCCTGCAAATAAAACCTTTGTGCCGGGCAACAGCTAATTATTTGACAGATTGGCCCCCTTCTGGCTCAGGTTACAGTGTGGAGTGGCCATGTTTTAGTCCCCCACTCCCCACCTCCCACCCAAGCAAGAACACCACCAGCACTCCCTCCCCGCTCTCTTCCAATCCTGGTGCAGAGAGGGGCCACTTTGACAAAATCCCAGAGGGCCTCATTCTTTTCAGGAGATTATATATTTCTGCCCCCCCACCCCCCCACCCCCTCCCTTCCCAACCATCTATCCATCCAAAATCAGGGGAGCGTGATGTGTGTGTGTGTGTACAGATGGGGGTTCTGTGTGTCAGTGACAGCAGTCATTTCATAGTTTAAAGGGTTTTCTCAAGCAGAAATATTTAATCTTCCCACGAAAACAAAGTTTGGTGGTGAAAGACCATGATGGAAAGACAGAAAGAGAGATGTAAAAAAAAAAACGAAAAAAAAAAACACCAAACCATGTCAAATATGTGTTTTGTTACACTCTATTTATACTTACTTTGAAGAAATGCTGTACCTATGAATCGAGCATAATTTTTTGTAATACCAAATTAGAGAGTGGGGAACATTAAGGGATTAAAGTTTTGGGTGGGCATGCCTTTGGCTTTGATTCAGTCCACTAATAACAAGAGTTTGTCATTAGTGTTCGGACATGGACCACCAAGATAAATGCCAACACATGTTTAAATTATCTGGAGAGTAATGGCATTTTCCTTCAGCCCTTTCCCTTCCCATAAAGGTCCCTTGTTGACTCAACTATGCCGACATTTTGAGTTATCAGCTCAGGTTTAATCTGTTGCTTACTTTGCACCCATACAGATGGAATAATTCAAGAGGTTGTACGTGTTAAAGAGGTTAAAACGAAGCAATGTGTAGAAATGATGTAAGGGAAGGCCACTGGGGAACAATGACATTTAATTACCGTGGATTTTAAGCATACATGAAATGTGTAAACATGTTGTATATAGAAGGATGACAAACTGTGATAAACACTTTCTCAGTTACACATATAATATATAATAATATATACTATACATATATATATATATATATATATATATATTGTTCTGACATTTCTTATTAAATCAATTGAACTAGATACAGTCATTTAAAAACTGCCATACAATTGTAATAGTGAAAATGCCGCAACTGAAAGAAAAAGTCACAGATTATTTTTATAATCTTGACGCAGTGCTTGTAAAAAAACAACATTTTTGCCTGTCACCCAAGAGAACTAAAACAGGGAACTACTGCTACTGTGTGAGGCATTTCTGCCACAGCGTTTCTGGAAATTGCCAGAGCTGAATATTTCTAAACGGGGAATTGATATCAAATAATGAAACAACCTGAAAAATGGAAGTTGGAGTTTGACTTAGAGGAAATCAAAAGGATTGTTGAAATGCCAAATTCTGAGGCCATGCCAAGCAAATGCTGCACTGTGACTAGTTTGTCTGCAGTTTCCGTGCTAAGATTGGTGTTGTGACATATCAGGACAGGATGTCCTCTGAATTTGGCAAAGTCTTGACAATCCAACCCTTTATATATGAACTAACTATATGCAAACATCTTTAAAAAAACAAAACAATTTTGCCTTTTTTTAATGTACATCACCCCGTAAACTCCACCTAACAGTTCCCAACATTTACACCCTTTTGTTTTTCCACCTCTTGTACGGTGAAATTCTTGCTGGGATCCAGTTGCATGTCTGGGATGCTCGACTACTGTGTTCACCTGGCATGAACCCAAGTGAGCAGAGCCTAGAGTATTCATTGCTCAACCTGGGTGAAGGTCATACAGTCCAGCTCTTCCCCACTTCGCTCCCCAGTGAGCAAACATATGGCCATGGAGCACCTTGAACATGTTTGGGTGACCAGAGCTACTTGGCCTGGGTTGCCACGGCAAAGAGAAAAAGTGGCACTAAGGGAGGTTTAGGCCTAACTTGCTAAAGCAGATCAAGGATAAGGAGGGAATCGGAGGCTGCCAACAACTGAGATCATCAATAACTAGTTGCTTGCAAACACTGAAAGCCATGTAAAGTCACCCAGCCGTGCGTGCACATGGAAATCTACAGAGTTTCTCGCCTGTCTTGTTTCTCCTCCCCTGTTTCTGTTGATATAAATGCTTGTAATCATAAGGTACAATATCATCACCCCATTGTTCAAACAGCCAAGCCTCATCTAATCGCTTCCACGTTTCCTCAGTGTTAAGCTCATTAGTGGGTGACCTAAAGGCATGTAGAAAAAAAAAAAGAAAAGACAAGCAAGAGAGACAAAAAAAATCTTTGGATAATGGATGCTTGCTGTTTTGAGACAGTAAAAATAAACAGGTCTGCAGCTTTGATAATGAATATGCTGCAAATGCTGGCCTACAGTGTGAGTTTATCACAAAAGTCCAACTAATAAGCCTGACTAGTGCGTATGTGCATGCATTTTTTAATATACAGTTGGAGCAGTGTGTATGAGCATGCCCAAAATTGAGTCCTTCATTCTATGTGTCGCTGCATGTGCGTGTATTTACCTTCCGGCTGGCTGAGGGTTGGGGGTAGGGGTGGAGAGGGTGTCGGAGATGACGATTCGCCGCTAGACTTTGTGAATGGGGATGTGAAACTGTCTCTGGTGTCTGAACGTCCGGCCCAGGTGGCGACTGGAAGGCTGACTTCATTAGCCTTAAAGAGGAAACAAAGGAAGATGCATCGTAAAAAAGTGCCATCCCTCATCTGCAAGGCCACCGCCTGACACATTAGGAATCTGTATGCTCAATTAACCACTGGCAGGCTCATTTTTCCTCTCTCTCTCGCTCTCTATACCACTCTCTCTCTTCCCCTTGCTCTTGATCAAACAGAGCGAGCGGGAGCGATCACACTAGATAGAAGCGAAACTCAGTACATAGCGTGTTTGTGAAGTTTGATGTATTTTACTTGCACGCTAACTGCAGTAGGTTAAAGGGGAAAAAAAACTTTTTTGTCAAAGTTTTAAAAAAAGACTAAATTTTTTGTAAGCTTAATGGTTGCAATTGAACACATTCAAAACCCCTCCCTATGAATTCTACAGCTGTGTAATTTTATTCTTATTATCATTTATTTATGTATTTTTTTGTTACAGGAGGAGAAAAGTGATGCCGCGGAATAGAAGAAATCAGCTTTAAGTGGTATGTAGTTTATTTGGGACTTTTTTTTACTTGAAAAGTGCACAAAAATATGATCCCCACTTATATATTCTTATATGTTCTATCAGAACTCATAAGCATAATTATACGCACAGGTGACAAATGAAAGGGAAAGACGACATCAAGTGTCGAACATGCTGTTGAACAATGGGTTGTAATGAAGTTGTAATGAAGGGTTTTCTAACGTCACACAAGATGTAAAAGAGCTATGTCCATCGATATTGAAATAATGTTTTTATTAAGCCTTTTCAACTTCTTAACTTTTTTGTTCAAACCCATGTTACTTGGTGTGCTTCATGTGTTCTGCATATCACATAAACTTGAGCTGCCAGCCTTAAGAGATGAGAAATGGGCCACAGAGTTTTCAGTTTGTTCTAACTATGCACCTCCTAGATTTGATCCTTTCACACTTGCAGCCCCAACCAGTGCTCACACAAGTGAGGAAATTTATCAGACTTTGTACAGCTCCCTCTGGAGGGAGTAGTATATGTAGTAATAAACAGAGTTTAATGTGTCCAATCATATAAGATAAACACAGGGGCGGCAAAGGTTCCTCCTCATGTTTTGTTGATGGAAACGCATACATGATCACACAAACACACACACACACACACACACACACACACACACACACATAAATCAGACTTAAATCATATCAACAGTTCTCTTGAGCTGGGTGTCAACCTGAGGATCTTTATCTCACTGAGTTTGAAAAATGACACCTGGCTAAGGTGGGGCTTTGCTGTGTGTGTGTGTGTGGAGGAGGTCACCCTGATACGCATCAACCTTTGATTAACGATTTGAGCACAACGCTCTTTAAAAAGCACAGGCATCATAGCTCAGGAGGCCTCCATCAAACCCTTCGCTGCACTTCACAAGCCCGACTTCTTTTTATGATCTGACCCACCCATTTTCTTTCTCCCGCTCTCATGCCACCTCACTCCCACCCACGTCCCCTTCGCTATCACCTTTCTTTTGAGGCCTATCCAGAGAGATGAAAAATAGCAAGCAGCTGGCCGAGCACTTCCTTCCCCGTGTCAGGGTCAACAGTTCAGCATGCTGATAGAGACCCTTACACCTTTTTTTTAATAAGAGCTCCCCTACACTCACACAGGTCACTTTGCTGCATCGCTGGACAGCCGTACTCCTGCCATCGTCTGCGCTCTCTTTCATTATATTTCTTTTTTCATCGCTTTGTGAGTCGCTGATTGATTAATAGCTGCTGCTTTTAGGTTAGTAAAACACTCCAAATGTACTTCGATTGATACAAAATAAATATTTACAAATTAATAATTAATGCATGCTATCTGTTGACTGGGGTTTGGGTATAAAGAACAGCCTCAGCCTGTCAGAAATTGGCTGAAGCTGTTTTTTGGCTTCATGAGGCTAAGCTAATAAACTTTTTGATGCTTGCTGCAGTTCCAATGTAGCTCCGTGTGGATTGACAGCAGAGGCCACCCTGGTCAGATTTTGAGTGGGCTCAGAAAGAAGTGCTAATCATAATGCTGAGCTAGCCTTGTTGAGCAGCTAATTACCTCCATTATGAAGATGCAGAGGCCTGATCAGAGGCGCCTCTGTGTGTACATGTGTGTGTTTTATATGTGTGTGTGTGCGTACTTTCCTGTGCCGATTAAAAAGGAGGATTAGCCGTCCGTCCAAGACAGAGGAAGCCAGGCTGGGGGGGTGGGGGCTGGTGGTGGTGATGGTGGTGGGAGGAGGGTGTCCCCCCCTCCTGGAGACGAGCCCTGACCTTCTCATTTCATCCTCATTAGTATCTCATGTCAACAGAGCAGCCACTCCTTAATCATCTGCTATCATCCCAGGCCTACACACACACACACACACACACACACAAATAAAGACACAGAAAAACACAAACGGGCAAACAGGGCTACTTTTACAGACAGGGACCAGCACATCCTGAATACCCATTTATACTGAATATGAATGTATAAAGATCATTTTACAAGAAGAGTATGTATTGCATGTATGTATGTATGTAATGCATAATTTGTTACTTCAGTTTTCTGTGAAAAATATTCAAACTTCTGGGAACTCTGATTACAGTAACACTGCATTCTCAGCGTGGAGTGTTAAATATTATTTGTGATCATGTAAAATGCCCTCTCAGCCACAATTAGGGAAGTGGTACCAAATGTCAAACTGTTTTTACTTTTTCCCCCTTATTCATCTACTTCTATTTTCTTTTTTTTCAACAAATCCAAATTGTATTTGTTGGATTCGGTGTACGGGATGTGTTGTTGGACAGCAGCGTAGCTGTGTGGTACAGGGTGGGCTCGTCTGTCTGTGTCGGCCTCGGTGCCACGGAGGCCCCAGCAGGGTCGAGGGGAGCTGGAGCTCAGGGTGCCAGCACAAATGAGCTCCATTCATTTCCCCACTTCGGCATATGGTGGCCCATTGTCCTCGGCCACAGAGGCAGAAGTGATGCAATTTGTTGGCATGTCCTGTCATTTTCACAAACTGTCCATCCCACTGAGGCCCCGACCAGCAGAAGACAAGCAAGGGCAGCTTGTTGTTTTACCAGATAACATGTGTAGTTGTGCGTATGTGTTTACTGTATTCAATCCAGAGCTGATGGCGACACTCCAAAACAGAATAGAGACATATGTTGTGATCCGCGCAAATATTTTGATGAAGCACAAGGCAGAAACAACAGGATCAATGAGAGGAAATTACTCCGATTAAATCTCCCTGAAGATTATGATATGCAGTATGTATGTCAATCCCTGTTGTTTTCCAATACTGTTGTCTTACAATACTTTATCCATGTTTAGAGAATAAGATCTAATCTGATCTGGGCTTTAAGACATGAAGCTTCCTTATTTTCTTAATGGTAGATTTAAAAAAAAGCCCAGCAGCATTAAAAGGAAATCAAAACCAACGTAAAAAGAATACACACTGAAACCTCAGATTCATGAGTGAGAGTGAACTGAGCAGCTCACCCGTGCCTGTTCCTGGTTTCACTATGCCAACCATGAAGTTGCTGTCTGCGAGGAGAGGGGAAGGAGTCTTGTTTAACTTCCTGAAAAAGCAAACTTTTGACATGAGGTGCACAATATTAGCAATGCAGCAGCAGAAAGAAAGAAGTGTCTAGACATAACTACATTTAGGTCAGACAGAGGAAAACATATGATCGCACAGTCATGCACAAAATGATGGGAGTACATGGTGTTGACAGGCAATTGAATGACCAGGGTCAAATGTCACTGAACCCATTCCATGCTAACATTTGTGAGTGTGCATGTGTGCGCACCACATCCCTGCTTCATGCTGTGGTGTCGCTCGCTCTTGGCTGCGTTTTGGTCAGAGGTTTTTTTGGGTGCAACCGCACCCGACTCTCCCACGCATGCACACTCTCACATGTGATGGGAACGTGGGCTTTCCACTGAGCTCACGTGAAGAAATCAGCGGGAGCACCTTCAGACAGAAGTTGACTTCACTTTAGCCTCTTTGAAGATTGATGACGTTGGTGCTTGTTTCACTGGATGTAAGGAACAAGTGGCCCCTCAGAGACTCATTACACCTCAGCAAGATTTGGAGAATAGAGTGACACTGCTCCCGATTACCAGATTCATCATTTGTATTGGACTGAGTTGCTGCTTCACAAATGCTGGATGGCGAACTAAACCAAAACTACTGACGTGGTTTTATGCCCTTTGCTGCAAAAGAGCTAAAGAAAGAAAAAATACTGGCAAATGTGATGTGAGCTGCGTTTGTTTATTTTCCCTCACATGAGACATGCATAAACAGTCAGATAATCCATCTTTGTCCCCCCACGCAAACATTTAACCAGGCTCATCTTATACCCCAATCATACATCCCTGACCTCAATCCTGGCCACACTTCTCTCCATTTGCTCCCCCCTTCAACCCCGCCCTCGTTCTTCCAGCCACCATGCTTTGGTAGCACGGATCCTTCTCCGGCCCTATCCTTAACCCCATTTTCACCCTCCACCCCCACCTATCCTCCAAACCTGTCAGGGACTGGCTTCCCATGTCCATCAGCGAGTGATGGATGAGGTGGAAGGTCGTCACCCCACTCTCCAGAGTTCACTGATCCTATCAGCCATGCAGACACCTCCAAATCAAAGCGGGTGAGACGTTACTGAAATCATGCAATTAGGGTAAGAAACTTGGCTTTGCAGAATTTGCTTTTAGACGGATGTGCAATTGGCCATGAGCCATAACTCGTATTTTCAGTGTCATTTTTGATGCTTTGTACAAAGAAAACTGCAACAAGGAAAATTAAAAGTATCAGTTCAACCGTGTTTTATGTGTTTACTTTTAAAGCGCGCACAAGCTCAATCTGTTGCATTGCATCTTGCTTCCACGGGGGAAGATTGAGTGGAAGAAGAGAGTATATATAGTGTTATTTCAACAGGCTACACAAGAAAAAGATTGCTTGTTGTGTTAGGCAAAGTGCGAAGATTTATTGGATTTTCTTACAATAACAAGACTGCTTCTCATTAAATAGATATCCAACATTCCCTTGAAAAATAGGAATTATTTGCCCAAAGTGATTTCCCATAAAATGCAACGAAATTTGATTGCACCCTGGTATAAACTAGAGAAGAGTATCACCCCTGACTGACCTTAAATTGCCTCTTGATGCCTATGGCGCTGTAGGAAAAACAGTAGCCCTATTGGTTCATTTCACATATGTCGTGGTAAACAAAGCTACAGGATATGATTGGTGATTCAATTGCTGAGGAAATCAAAGAAGGCAACCTCAGAACCTGGATAAGTCTGCCCCCAGTTTTCCAGCAGCAGAGAACAAGGCGGCCAAAGGATGCAGGATATTCTCTCACTGATATCATTCTGTCGGAGGGAGATTGATAAACTATAAACACACGGGAAGAATAGACAATGCACAATGGTGTCAAGCATCTTTGCTGACAGGAGCGTAGATCAATGTTATTTCCCGCTTTTGCAAAAATACCTAATTCCCCTTATTTAATCAAGCGTCTCCTTTCTCTGGCCCTCCTGGCTGATTTATTACACCCACTGCCTTTATGAGTACCTGTTTCATTTTCTTGTCTCTGCTCTGACATCTAAAGTGATAGGAATTTTATGCTTTTGATAACAATATGAGTTTCACTTTGCCCCAGAATTCATAGGCTTGTCAGCAGCCAATAAATAACAACTGCGTGGCACAAAAAAAATCGCTTCCATGACAAAACATCCACCTAATGGGATTTACCTTGGGATGAAGAGGATGAAGCTTTGAATAGAAGAAACAGAGGGCTGCACGGGGGGGATGTCGATGGGAAAAACGCAGGATCTCGGTAAAAAGGTCATGTCAGCAAGAGCGCGAGTGCAAGATGTTTTCCGGTGTCTTCTCGTCAGGATTCATAATTGGTGGGCTGTCATATGAGCATTTTGATAATGTCACATGAACATAAATGC